ACACACACACACACACACACACACACACACACACACACACACACACACACACACACACACACACACACACACACATACTTAGAGGGGTGCTGTCAACTCAAGTGCCTAACTGGTGGCAAAGTAGAGGATACGGCCAGTGTTTTAGGGTATATATATCAATACTGTGTGATAAGTAAGCAAAAAATCTGTATATTATACCTATTAGCACTTGGACTAAAATGTACAGTTCTTGACATTTCAGTGACAAATATGAATAAAGAGTTTATTATTCAACCAGGCTTTGGTTTTATGTTCTCGTGTTTCGTGCTGAAGTCCATGTTCTTGTGTTATAAATCAACACGTTCCTATATACAGCGCTGCTGCTTCCAAGTGTGTAGTAATAATCTGTGTGCCTGATTAGATGTGAAAGTTGTTGGGGTCCATTCTACAAAGTTTCATTAACTGTGATACCTTCACTACAAGGTGGTTACACTTAATAATACCGTTTAAGGCATGAATAAGTAATTATTTAATTTGTAGCTGTGCATAAAGAATTTTGTTGATTCTAAATCGTATTTTCATGTTTCAGAATCTTACCTTTACCGTATAGAATCCATATACATTTTACGTATAGAAATAGAAAGTAAACTGTCATTTAAAAAGAGTTCTACTTAAAACTAGATAGCCGTATATCTTCTTACATTTAGTTTTCTTCGTTTCATGTAATGCAATTTGTAATCAAGCCGAGGAATTATGAAATAAAACATTAAATGTTAAATATTTTGTGTTTTTCAGATACTGGAGGCAGTTTATGCATCTAGTCATACGTACACTAATCAACATCGATAATACGTTAATAGATGGCACCACTGATCTTTGCTTATTGTGATTTTTTTTTTTCGCAAAGGGTTTTTGCCTCATGTACTTATTGTACAGTTATTATGATTTTTTTCAGCGTATTCTGCTTAACATGAGAATGCTTTGTAGTTTACTTTTTCAGAGTTCTTCCTAAGATAATGATATTAGAATAGTTTAATTGTCCAGAGTTCTTCATGAGCTAATGATATCAGAATAGTTTAATTGTACAATTAAACTATTCTGATATCACAGAGCTCAAGAAGAACTCTGTACAATTAAACTATTCTGATATCATTAGCTCATGAAGAACTCTGGACAGAGTTCTTCATGAGCTCTGTGATATCAGAATAGTTTAATTGTACAGAGTTCTTCTTGAGCTCTGTGATATCAGAATAGTTTGATTGTCCAGAGTTCTTCCTGAGCTAATGATGTCAGAATAGTTTGATTGTCCAGAGTTCTTCCTGAGCTAATGATATCAGAATAGTTTAATTGTCCAGAGTTCTTCCTGAGCTAATGATATCAGAATAGTTTAATTGTCCAGAGTTCTGCCTCAGCTAATGATATGAGAATAGTTTAATTGTCGGTTTTCCAATATTTCGCCGTGTTTAAACTAATAAAAGTGTCTAGTTGAATGTTAAGCAAATTAAATATTTCCCAGTTTTCTGAATTGCTTTCGAGTTCTCGCAAAACTGACTTCCAAAGATTACCGTTGAGCAAATAAAAGATTCAACTATTCCTGTGTTTTATTTTCTAACGACACATCACAAACAGCAATCTCACCCACCTGCCAAATCCTGACTAACCCTTCGGTATTTTTCGGGGATCTTCAATTTGTCTCGTATCTCCTAAAGGCGTAACGGCACGAACGTTATTTTTTTCTGTTTTGTTTTTTTCACAACATTACGACGATATATATGTATATATTATCTGACTAGGGTATACGTCAAGAGTGTCAAAGTTAAGGAACTACAAATCGTTTCTACTTTGAAAATAATTAACGTACATCGATTTTTTTAAATCGTTTATCTTTAAGACTAATATAAATAACTTTGGTAGTTTTTCAAGTAAATATTCTTATCTCTGGCTTTTATATTGTTCTTGTGTCTGATTATTATTATGTATCCTTCATTGTAATTTACTATTTTCCATTCTTATATCAGATTGTTGTATTTCTGACTATCAATTATACTGCTTACTTACAGGGTTTATTTATTAATAAAAAAAAGAGCAGATTATTGATTTTTTTAAAATATTACTGGTAAAATAACAGTCGAAGGGATGGATGAAAGTCATAAACATTTTGTTTTTATAATTTTCGGTCCTAGGCTTTTCTTCGGGTGGTGTTCTATCTGAAGGTGCCAGGCTTGAAATAATATAAATTAAAACTACTTAAAAGTAATTTCTATCCAGTTTTTCACTAGTAATTAGTTTATACAACTACTGGCCTATTTTTATTACGGACTTGGATACTTTCCAGGGGAATGGGTGGGGTGGAGGGTATTTTAAAGCCAAATGATGGGTAAAACAAATATCCGCGTTGCGTTTGGTAATTTTAACTATTTCATGACTGCATAAAGATGTGTCTTTCTGAAGTTAAATAAGTTATACGACATCTGTTACCAGAAACTCTCAGATATTAATATTTGTCTTTGTATGTTGAATTAGGCACAACGCTACTTGCACTTAACGTCCCTAGAGGAAAAAACGGTTAACATTACTCAACGCGAACTCGTAACTACTTTAATCAAATAGTGGGATTTGGTTATCACTCTTATAACGCACACACGACCCTAAAGTATTGAATGCGATTTCTATTTTGATGGTAGCAGGGCACGAACAAGGGAACCACGAAACCATAGTCCGGCACGTTAACCACGACCGCGTTCGACACCTCAGTGATGTTTACATTTACATCAAGAATAAAAAATTAATGACACCCAGTTTCACTTATATTTACATCGAGAGTAACAAGCCAAATTATCGAACTACCGTTTTTAGCGTCATAAACCCTCACACTAGCCGCTGAGGAATCAGGGGCAACAAACAAAAAGGAATAAAAAATCACAATAAAATTGAGAATTGAAAATTAAAATGAAATTCTAAAAAGCAAAGTATAAATTCAGAATTATAATAAATATTGTAAAATTTTTTTGTTTTGTTTTTAATGTGATCGATTTTTTTAAAAAAAATCCCTGCGAGCTTCCGTAATGTAATACTTTTTAAATTCGAAGAAAAGGCAACAACTGTTACAGATCTCTTTACAATATGTATGTATGTAAATCTTAATTCTCACGAATTTCTGTGTGTAACAGGAGATCCTCCATTTTGTCAGCTCTTGACTCGAATACGATGTTCAACACAATGTTTATTTACGCCGAGAGGGCATGAGAACACAAGCACCTGACTCAATTGGTCTCTCTTATTGACACTTCCACTACACAGGGTTAGTTTAGTTCACAAGAGTTGAAAGACAGAGGTAGATCGCTGTCTTTGTCTTTAGCGTTTGGTTTAGTACATACCTTCCTGTGATTTGTTAGTGAAATATAACCAGAGAATGAATAATATTATATCATTAGCTCACAGACACTTCAGGCGGTTTACCGCGAGAGCTTATACTTTCTGGTAATTTAGAGAATTAAAATAAATAATTTTCTTCTAAAAGTTAAATAATTATTCTATTGTCGAAAAACATCTTCGCCTGTATGAAGTTACTTTAAGTAGTTTTATGAAATTGTTTGTACGACATCAAGTACAAGAACATAAAAACATATGGTCTTTGTTGTTCTACGAGCGGAACCAGGGATTTCGTGACCAGCTGTAAAAATTTGCTCATATCGTCAGTCAATTTCAATTTTAAAGCCTATTCAGTCAAAATGTTAGGTCTGAACAAACCAACAAAACAAGAGCAAATGAATTTTAGTCACTAAATGTTTAAAATTAGCTTTTTTAATCATAAAATATAAAAAAGCCTAATTCAATGCTATGATGGTAGAAATATGGGTGAATCATAAAACAAAATATATGTATAGACCCAAAAATGTTATACCAATTTTGAGCTTTTCCGTTTCTCTACTGTATTTATAACTTCTTCATTGTTTAGCTTAAAACATATCAAAATTACGTATTAAATTAAGTATTAAAACAATAAAAAAAATGAAAATGGATAAATAAAAGTTATCGTTTCTTTTTTGACACAACTAGGTAAACGTCACGAGCACAATGAACGATAAGGCTGTA